TGAAGCCTTAACACCCTGAACAGGTGAAAGCAGAGCGAAGGATGCCTGTGATGGAGAATGGCCTAAGACTCTCAGGGATTCCACTTGCCCAACATTACATGCTGTTGATAAGAATCCCAGTCTTTCCTGAAGTAATTACATGGCAATGCTAAATTCCTTCAGCCACGCCTACTGAGATTTAACTCAAGACTCAAACACTAAGCAAGTACATATTTTGAAGGCTGTCATTACCTCACAGCTAGTCTGTAGCAGGAACTACAGCATTGGTACCTGCCATGCAGAGGTCAACCAACCATACAAATTTATGAGTCTGGGTTAAATGCTCCTAATGCAACTTCCCACTTTATAACACTATGACTCATGTGCTATAAATCAAAAATAAAGAGAGAAGACTCAAAAAAAAAAAAAAAAGGAAAGAAGAGAGAGAGGGAAGAGGGAGGGAGAGAGAAAATAATGGGAGAGGCAGATTCCAAAGACTATGCCGATGGTCTTAACCTAAATAAATCTCAGGTCAGTGTGGAAGGGGCCATGGAGTAAACCAAACTCCTCATTTCTATTGAACCCAGAAGAAAATCAATAGCAACTTGAAGAGTTCATGCAATTTCGCCATTAAAATCCTCTACATTTCTTTGCTTAAGCCTCACACATGCCCTAGAGAAAACGCTGATTCAGAAGAAGGAAGGTTATAAATTATTGGCCATTTTTCATGGAGCATTGTTATCCCGCAAAACGGAAGTAGAGAAAACAGATAGGGAGTGACGCTCCTAGCGTTTAGGTCAGTAGCCTTCGGAAGGTGCACAGGGAAACTCAGGTATCACAAACTTCTGTCTTCTCAATTCAGATCCCATCACAACACACACAGAGCTCTCCTAGGTCGCAAATAAGAATTGGTAATGTTGTTTGTCATCTGACTGCAAAGTTATAATTTTGTATTCCAAAAGCATGATAATTAATCAAATGAAAGAAATGTACGCATGTACTAGAAACCTAAAAGTCAAGTGAGTAGAATTCATAAGAGAGCAAACTTTTCAAAAAAATAAAACAATTTAAGACGAGAATAATGATCCTGAAGATGAGACCGATGTCATCATAGTTAGATCACCAGGCTGTATAAAAGCAATCAATGATGTATGTAATTTATGAAACATATGTGAAACATATGGGTAGGTAATTGGTTAATAATATCCTTTAGGTAAAAAGAAGACACTTGGGAATTTATGGAAAACACATAAAGAATAAAAGAGGGAAATCTCAATCGCACTACAACTTTTATCATATTATTTTCATCAACGAAAGAATCTCAAATCAACACAGAAAAGGATACAGCCATGCTTCACCCACCTGCTTCTCTGTGAGAATGACTCTTCCCAGTAACTGGTCTTCTAGACCTTTCATGGTGACAGTGAAGTCGATGATGGAGGTACGGGCACTTATTTCAGGGGTGTAGGCTGGATTGGGCAGTTTGGTGGTAATGTAGAGTTTGAAACCATCCATAACATCTACTTCCTTGTCACCCACTTTCACCTTTTTTATAAAAAAGAAAGTTAAAAGTAATAAAACAGAGATTACCTTCCTGTGTCATTTTTGTATCGGATCAAATATTGCTTTAAACAATTATGTAACTGGAGATAATTTGTATACTAAAAAAGAAATGGTCATTAGGCATTCACAGGGCTTCAGACAACTGGAAAGAAAGGAAAGAAGAAAAGAAGGATGGAAGAAAGGAATGTCAATAGATACCATGCAATGAACATAGAATTTAGCACCAAAATTGTGATCATACTGCAGAAGCGAGACGAAACCTTTCCTTACTCTAAATTTTGTTCAGTGGTCAAGACTGATGATGTTGTACATGTACCAAAAGAGTATAAAAACGCTTATTACTCACATAATGAAATCTTCTAGGGAGATCAGTGCAGGCTCCCCAGCAGGTCCCAAAACTGGCTTGAAGGAGCAGGGAGGAGTAGCCAGTCTAGGGTTTTATGGTGGTTAGGGGGTACAGCTGGGAAGAGGGTTTCCATACACAGGGCTGGACAGGGGCCTACATGGTTTGAATTTCCAACCAGTGCTGAAGGAAGGAGCACCCAGGTTTTCTCATCAGCTCACCCAGATGTGGGGCAGAAGGGGAGAGGGGCATGGAGAGGCTTGAAAGCTATCAACAGTCCAATATTGAAATGGAGTCAGACTCTTCATTACACAAGTGAAGCAGATATTCCTAAAAGGATTGCTCTTAAATGCTTTAATCCCACTTTAGGAAGTATAGAAGAACCACAGGAAGTATGCAAAAGCCTCTCACCACTGACTCAAATTTGCGTTGCTGCCTATTGAGGGAATTCCCTCTACGTCACATTGACCGGGCCTCAGGGTAATTTCTCTACACATTGTTATCAATAGGTTTAACCTACCTTAAAAGTAGATCCAGTTTTAATGAAGTTTCTTTCCAAAACATTATCCAGAGCTGGATCTAGTTCCTCCCCAATGTCTTCAATAAGCAAGGGCCTTCCAAGAGAAAGGCTGTCCTCCAGGTGATTTCTAAAGTACTTGTGATTTAGAGATGTGATCTAGAAACAGGATCACAAGGCTGCTATTGACAGACAGTATCAAGATGCAATGCACAGGAATAAGTGGTATCAAATGATGCCTACAGCATTCTACCACAAGACACAAATACAAACTGAAATATTCTGAAATATTCCAAAATCCAAAACTTTTTGGGCACTGACATGATGCCACAAGTAGAAAATTCCACACCTGACACCTTTGCTTTTTGATGGTTCAATGTACACAAACTGTGTTTCATGCAAAAAATTATTTAAAATATCGTATAAAATTACTTTCAGGCTATGTGTATAAGGTGTACATGAAACATAAATGAATTCCATGTTCAGACTTCAGTCTCAGCCCCAAGTCATCTCATTATGTATATAGAAATACTCCAAAATCTGAAAAAATTGGAAATCTGAAACACTTCTGGTCCCAAGCATTTTGGATAAGGGGTACTCAACCTGTATATAGATTTTAGAGATCCCTGGCTTTGGAGCCCATCCTTGGTGAAATGGTTCAGAAAACTTAAACAGTTTTCATTTTTTTTAGCAACCATCATTTTCTCTCATGGGGAAGGGTGTAAAGATTCTGTGTGGCAATACTGCTTTCTCCTCACCACTGCCACCTTTGTGACAAACAATAATGGAATAATTAGGACATTCCTATAAAGTGCTACACACTTACTGTGATATAGCTCTGCCTTCTCTGTTTATCCAAGAGAGCCCCAGACCCTAACAAAATTGAGTCTAAAAGCATTGAAAAATGGCATTAGTAGAGATCAACACAAGCGAAAATAAAGAAATTCTTAGAAAATATTTTAATATTAGATTTAAGCTTGCATCTGCTACTGCTCTACGTAGGATTAAAAAAATTCTCTAATGTTTTCAAATATGTCTTTACTCTTGGATTCTTGTTGATCTGGGACAATAAAACTTGACTAGTAACAAACATACGCAGACACAAATTACCTGGAGTTCATTTTGGTTTTCTTTATTTTTAATCCAGATCTTGCCTTGAGTCTGTGGATCGATTAACAAAGGATAGCGAGATGCCTTCGTGACAATAATTCCATTCTGAATGGACAGGTCATCATTTGGCAGACCTTGGAGGTTCCATTCACTAATAGTAGGAGCATCAATCAACATCTCATTGAGATTTAGATTGTTTCCAAATGGAATTTTCCGGGCTTTCATTTCCTTCTGCCAGTCATTTAACAACAGATCTCGAAACTCTTGGTTAAATGGACCAGAATAAGATAGAAAAGCCGTAGCCAGCAATACATCCCCTAAAATAGAACACGAACACCACTGAAATACTTTATGTTCATCCTTGTAATTGTGCGCCATACTAAAAATAAATAAATAAATAAGACAGTCATTCTTTTAAACTAAATTCCACAAATCAAATTGTAACCACTTGTTGCTGTACCTTGGTGAAGAAGCAGCAGTTTGGTTTATTGTTAGACAGGGTCCAAGTGGCCTACCAAGTACTAGCTGCTCAGAGTCAAGCATGACATTATTTTCACTTTTGTTCGAAGTGCAAAGATGACCTCTGAGTCTAAGAGATTCAAAATCTCAGAAGACAGAGTCTTCATTAAAAGTGACCTTGATCAATATGCCCACGCACTTATAGAATTCTAAAGTGACCTGATAACAAGAGGTGTAAATGTCATTAACACATTTAATAAGGATAACATAGATGCCAGACCAATATCCATTCCTCTGAAATGGCTGGGGACACACAAACACACCCAGGGAATTGAAATAATCTAGTGTCATCTTTATTTTGATTAAAACGTAAGCTTGCTAACTCCCTACTACAGTCAACACATAATCTCATTAGTAAAAGCATTTACACACCAACAAGTCTTTTAGTCTGTGCAGCAAACTCTCTGCTTTGCTCCGTCCATCTCTCTTTCTCGCCTGCCAAGCCGCTGATCAGCGTGGAAGCCGTCTGCATCTTATGTCTGCACCGCTCTGCATCTTCAAGCAAGGTCTAAAGAAGGCCATAAGCAGAAGAAAACTTTTATTGAGAAAAATATAGCCTCTGGCTCAAAAACAGAACTTTAACACATGGCATCTTATCTGCCTTTCTGAGATACGTGAGCCATTTATTTCACAGGAAGCACCAGACCGCATTTCCCTGTGTCTGTCAGCCCAATCCTCTCTCATGCCCTGACCATGGACTTGGGAGATTCCTCTAGGCAGTGCCTTGAGCCAAGTGGTCAGATCCTCCCCAGATGTTAGTAACTGAGCAGTAGTGGAAATATGCATCATTTATGATTTCCATATAATGAAAAATGGGAATAGACTATAAGCACACATGCTAACATCATACTGCACCAAAAATGTAAATAAATATGTATCCTTAGTTAAAAGTTAGAAATATGTCTCCTGTTAAAGTTCTGGTATCATTATTGCGTTTATCTATGTGCACACTTCCTTTTACTTGAGGCAAAACCTTAGATTATCTGCAGATTAGGGTGCTCTGAGGCTCCCACACAAATTTCAGCCATGCTCGACTTAGCAGACCCCTTCCTGCTGTGCCTGGAGACAATAAAAGGCCTTTAACCCAGACTCCCACCTGCTGTTGCCTCTCAGTGCTTAGTTCTCAAAAACAAATGGCTCTATTTCTCTATGTTTAAGTTACAACTGCTAATTCTACTTGTTAAAATTCATACTTATGAAATAAAA